TCTCTCTCTCTCTCTCTCTCTCTCTCTCTCTCTCTCTCTCTCTCTCTCGCGCGCACTTCCTTCTTCACTCTTGCGCCTTAATGAGTGGGGTGACCATTAGGTATGGCCTGTTTAAAAATTAAGCTGTTAGATTGGGGTGGGGGGAAATCAGCAGTATATTTTCAAGGGAAATCTTTAGGTTGTTGCACAGTGGAAGAAGAGCACCTCTTTTGCATGCAGAAGGTCCTAAATCCGATCCCTGCATTTCCAAGCAGAGCTAGGAAAGGCTTCTGCCTGCAAGCCTAGAGAGCCACTTCCAGGCAGTGTTGATGAAACCGACCAGCTTTCTATGTTCCTAAGCACTTACTGTATATATCCCTGGGAAGAAACAACTCTAAAGGTACTGAGTTACTTTGGAGAGGTCTCATCAATTTCGTTTTTTATTTTAAAAGTGAGTGCAAAGAACGCATTTGACCAGTTATTTAGAAATGTAATTAGGTAAGTGCAATGCCCATTTTATGTTTAAAAATGAATGCACACACTGTGGTTTAAACTTATAAGCCTGTCTCTGCTTTTTGTTTTTGTAGGTTTTTTGGGGGCTTGATTTTAGATATCAAGAGGAAAGCACCTTTCTTTTTGAGTGACTTTACCGATGCATTCAGCTTGCAGTGTCTAGCCTCATTCCTGTTTCTCTACTGTGCATGTATGTCTCCCGTTATTACATTTGGTGGTCTGCTGGGAGAAGCAACAGACGGTCGTATAGTATGTAAATTAATCTGATTTTTTACTGTTTTTCTTTTATTTATGTTTGGCATTTTATAAGCATTGCATGAGCAATTCATTTAAAACAAAGCATTTGGAATGATAAATTTTCTGAGAAGCAAAAAAAGCCATTTCCTCAGTTGTCTTGGTACTGAAATAATAACTCTGATTTTCTGGATTTTTTTCACATACAGAGTGCAATAGAATCCTTGTTTGGTGCATCTATGACTGGAATAGCCTATTCACTCTTTGGTGGACAGCCTCTTACCATACTAGGTAGCACAGGACCAGTTTTGGTGTTTGAAAAGATATTATTCAAATTTTGCAAGTAAGTGACCAGAGTTCTCTCACACACTTTGCCGTCTTCATTATTTTCATCTTCTGTTGCATGAGGCTTTTAGAGGATTATTGGAGCTAAAGCATAATGCTAAACCTAGCAGTAAGAGGAAGCAAAATGTTTTGCTTAATTTTCTGTGGGTTTTTAAAGACATGCCTTGGCTGGTCTTACCTGCTCTACTGGGGCAGGAACAGGCAACTCCCATCAGCTCCTTCCAGCATAGTCAGTAGCCAGGCATGGTAGGAGCTGTAGCCCAAGAACATGTGGAAGGCCCTGGGCTCTACGCTACCCTTGAGCATGCCCTTATTACTAAAGTGGGGCATGGCCCTTAGCGCAAGAGGCACAGCACATGCTTTGTATGCAGACGGCTCCAGGTTCAGTCCCCAGCAGTTCCAGGTAGGGCTAGCTAAGATCTGCCTGAAACCCTGGAGAAAGTCCATGTGGACAATGCTGGAACCAGTGGTTTGATTCAGTGCAAGGCAACTGCCTGTGTACCGGTGCCGTGAAGGTAAAGCTAATGGATGCTGGGCAGAGACAAGGAGGCAGTAGGGTAGTGGTCAGTCGCATCTGCAGTGGAGCACACCCCTGGGACTGTCTGGGTAACAGGCGCCCACCTGCTTGGTATAGCATCATCTACATTTTTGGTGCACTCTTGCGAATTTGAATGTCCATGTTCTGAACGATGTGATCTGCAACCTTTATAAACCCCCCTTCATCAGAACTGTTGGCAGGGTTTTTCTCCCAAGAGAATTGCAGGCCTGAGTCCCTAACCCAGAGCTCCCGAATGCAGCTGTAAAGCAAACATAAGACTGTAGAAATGGAGAGCCATAAACCTTGACAACGGGGACCATTGCAGGCACTTCTTGCACTTGCAAATGGTGGAACTCCAACATGCAAATGGTGCTCTCCTGCAGAGAGCTGCCACTACCATGGCATGGAGAATTCTTGCAGGCAGAAGGGGCCATTCATACATTGGAATTTCACGATCCACAAGCCATTCCAGGCATTAGGAAGGCAATGCCGTCACTTAAAAGAGAAGTGGTAAGAACAGAGTTGGCATCATTTGAATGAGACATTTGCTAAGCACAGCAGCTATCCACAGCACTTATTACTCAGCCTTCTTTTAGTGGGGCTCAATAAATTCTTCATGTTCTTACAGGGAGTACGAGCTGTCTTACCTTTCCTTGAGAGCGAGCATTGGCTTGTGGACTGCAATTCTGTGCATCATTCTTGTTGCAACCGATGCAAGCTCCCTGGTGTGCTACATTACTCGGTTTACTGAAGAAGCTTTTGCATCCCTTATCTGCATCATTTTCATCTACGAGGCCTTAGAGAAGCTCTATCATCTCAGCGAGACATATCCAATCGATATGCATAATGATTTGGAGCTATTGACACAATACTCGTAAGTATGACTTCAGCACTGCATCATGGAAGGGTTTGTTTGTTTGTTTGTTTTGGTCAAGGACAGTGTTTTCATTAGAAGGCATATGAGGCACCGGGGACCCAGTATTTCATTGTTACATATTTTGGAGCATGTTCATTTAACTGGTTTGGTGTATTGTCAAGTTAACACAGGAATAACTTGAAGTTCACCAAACCCAAACTTCATGTCATCAATGCTGTGTTAGTGGCAATGGCTGGGCTTGCATAAATAATTGCAATATTTTTGAGCTTCCTGCAAAAAACAGGTATAATATTTGATTTTTTAAAGAAGATTTGCAGGCTAAAAAATGCCTCTTCCTGTTTTAAGCACTAGTCTACAGGTAATATATACTTGGCTATTGATGCTAGAGAACAGTGTGAGTCCCAGAGGCACACAGCTCACTTTTCCTGGGGTTAAAATAGCAGAGACTGGGTCAGATTAAAGTTCTACCCAGGCCAGACTGAGCTGTACTTAGCTTCCATTGTAATCAACAGAATTTAACATGAATTATGATTTACTAATGAGTCCCATGGAATTTAGTGGAATCTAAGTTCAGCTAGGATAATTAGGATTAATTAGTGCTAAAGATCTGAACAGCTTGTAGTGGCCTGAACAGGAATTGACCCCATGATGCAATTTTGGTTCAGTGTGTAAAAATGCCGGCCTAGATTGCTTTCTTGTTCTGGATCCCTTCTTATCTCCCTTTGTTGATCAATAGTAAGAATCAGAGATCCACATGAATGGTTTCACATGCTGACATAATCAATGGATAATTTCCATTATCATATGGAAAAACTATGGCATGCTAGCACATAAAATAATTTGCGCTCTAAGAGGTGAAATCACTGGGAAATGTAACTGCGTAGAGGGATGGTGTTTTATTGTTAAATTCAAGAAGTCACAGCTGGATGAAGCAAACTGAGCTATCAAAATCACATTTTTATAGGTTTTGTTATGCATAAACAAAAATATTCTCATGGGCAAAGGCAAGATTTGGTTGCAACCTGAAGCACATGACAGTCAGTGTCTCCTCAGCAATAGAGACAGGTCAGAGAAGTCATCTGTCTAAAAAGCCCCTCAAGATACAGTTTTTAATGGTATTCAACTTGCATGAACTCAGGGAGCTGATGTCCTGAAATGAACTCAGGGAGTTGATGTCCTGATATAGCAACAGAAAGACATACTCCTTTAGCCAATGGCTATAGATAATGCATTGTGGAGACCGTATGTGTGTTGCCGAGAATACACAAGCAAGTTCTTGCTCCCTCAGTCTTGGGTGAAATGAGAAATCCCACACACATGGTCTGTCCTGTTTACAGAATTAGGTTCTTGGTTACCATTGCACTTCCCCCAATCTATGGGTCAAACTAAATGTTCTTCCAATCATTTATGTTGCTATGCATGATAGCCTTTCTTACTCCTCTGCAAGCATGAGTGGCCCTGATATAGATTGGAAACATATCACCATTAGAGCCTGTGGGGCTTCTGTGTCTGCCTGCCTGCCTGCCTGTAACCCTCTCATATGGGGATGAGGGGGAATTTTGGAGTGAAATCCATGTGGGAAATTTAACCCCCTCTGAAGTGCTTCTATCTTGATCTGAATCAGAGTCACATGAATTTGACATGAGGGTAAGTGAAACATCATGCGTAGCTACACTGTGTGTGATTGCAGACACTTTGCATTTGGCCTTACCTTACGAGGTTTCCAAGAATGTAAAGGGGTGCTTGCCTTCACCCAGTTTTAAGGAATGCAAGGACTTGTGTTACACTGGGTCGTACTGCTTGGCTAACCCAGGATGGTCTGTTCCCAGTGGTGGCAGCTCTTCAGGGGCTTAAGCTGGAGAATTTGTGCTTTATGAAGATGCCAGAGACTGAGCAAGCAGGGCCCTCTTCCCTCTCTCACAGTGCCCTGGTTCTATAGTGGTCAGTTCATTGAATGAGCACTAAAGGATAGAAGTTGGCATCTTTCCTTTTCGTGAGTGGGTAGATGGCCGCGATCATGCTGCGGGGGTTGGGGAAAGATGGCCGAGATCGCGCCCATCTCTCCATCCGCCAGCGTGCCCCTTTTGCGCCTTTCTCTCTCTCCCCCAGTGCGCCTGCACTCGTGCCCATCCCTCCCCCCCAGCATGTCAGGATAAGGGGCACGTGCAGGGATGATGGGTGCGATCTCAGTCGTGCTGGGAAGAGGCTGCACTTGTGCTCGGGGTGGGGAGGGGGAGATGGCCGCAATCTTTGTTGTCCTTTGTCACTTCGCTTCACATTTTTCTGATTAAAAAATGGTTACAGAACAGATTAACCTTATTTACATTGAACCTTATGGGGAAATTTAACTTGACTCACAACCAATTTGGGTCACGACCAGAGTCCTGGAACGGATTAAGTTTGTGAGCCGAGGTACCACTGTATCTTATCGAAAACTGTATTCTCTGTCATTTTGAAAGAGTTGTGTGCATTCTCTTCTGTTAAAGCTCCCAAGGTTAAAATTAAGAAAATATAGGCCACAAATATAAATCTGCACACACAGAGACTTTTACTGAGACTTCCATTCACCAGTCTGCAATCCTACATATGCTTACTAAGGCAGTGAGCTTCGTTAGACCCAGTGGGACTTCTGTCTAAGTAAAAGTCCCACTGTGTCTAATCATGGGGTTGCATTGTTAGAATCACTCATTGTAGTTTCCAAGATAGCATAATTAAAATTCTTTGAAATATCCTCATTTCCTCTTTGTTCCAAAATGTCAAAGCCTTTTTTCCTTAGAGAGTGAGAGCACTTCAACTGAGGATACTTAAACAAGTCTATTGGGTTGGATCCAGAATTACGAGGAGTAGAAGTCCAGGTATTAGATTTCCTGTAATCAGAAGAAGCCATTTTCATTGCTTCACCTGCCCTCCTGAAGCACCCTGCCTTTCCAAAACCAGCTGTTGAGAATTGAGAGACCCCCCCAGAATCATGTGTGAGGTGGTACTGGGTGGATGCAGAGGAAATCCTGGTTTCCCCCTTTAGCTGAAGGAATCCTCATAGGAGGCATACAACCCATGTGTTGATGAGAAAATCAGACAAACCTATGTCTAAATTATTGCTCTAAGTAGTATTGCTATTCATTGTGTGTTCTGTGTGGCTGACTGACCTCAAACCCCTCTTTTTATCATCCCTTCATGATCATACGACTAGCGCACGTGGATATCTGGAAAGCAGGATGCATGTAATTACACAAATTATTTTGCAGAATGTGTTGGATGAACACTTTTGCTCCCTGCATAGTTGTCTCCACCAAAAGGGGTTAGGGGCCCTAACCTAACACACCACAGCATCTGACAACTGACATACTAAAACCCCAGTTAAAATCAATTAAACATTAAAATAACAGGGGGGTTATTATTATTATTATTATTTTGCTTTTAAATATTGAGTTGTCCCATTGTTTATGCAGTTTTTAGTATATTTGGCCATGAAGACTCTTTAACAAGCAGTTCATTCTAAATTAGACTTCTGTGTCCTTTTATATATGATCTGGTCAGAATTTGTTTGTGGGCATAACCTTTAATGTAGCACTGATGAACCTTACCCTCATGCCTCTGATAAAACAGGCAGTCGGTGCTGTCTCTCAGATAGTTCTGTAGGTCAGAACTCTCCTAAAATAGGACTGGCATATTAGCCAGTTAAACTCAGACTGTCATCAAAGGCACATGGCTTTCAGATGCTTTCCCCAGAAACTGCAACATCACTTGACAATTCTATCTTATAATTGGCTCAAATTATGTAATTCCTTGCTTCCTCCGATCTGATGCTTATGCGTGGAACAGAGAAGAGCAGTACTGACTGCCTTCACTAGCACCGTTTCTGACCATTTGCTAGGACAACAGAATCCATATGCTCTATGAATGCCGTCAACATCGTAGCACAATCTAGTATCACCTCAGTGGGACTGCAGTAGTGCACAATGCAGGTTTGCACATAATGGGTACAGTAATGCTCAGTGCTAACCTATGAGTTATTTACCCCTCATAGGTTGTTGCATTCTGAATTGTCATGGTGTGTTTGTCACACTAACAAACCCTTATTTGTATCACAAAAAGAAAGCCCATGAGTTGTCGCCAGGTTGTGAACTTGGGCGTATTTAAACCATAGATTGTTGTCACATCTTTACACAGAACCATGGGATGTTCGTGGATTGTTTTGCCAGTCCTCAAAAGAGGTAGACAAGATTGGTAAAGAAACATTTGGAGTATGTGGAGAGAGAAAAGGAGGATGCATGCAGCCAAACCAGAGACTGAGAAAAGAAAGTACTGTAGTCTGTTTGATTGTGTTCCAGATGAACTATGGGTAGAACAATAAACTATCATTTAACCATCGGTTAAATTTACTAGGTTGTGATAATGATGACGACGACGACATTTATATACTGCCTTTATTCCTCTTGCAAGGATCTCAAGTGGCTTACATGCCCCCCTTGACTTGGTACCTTCTACATTTTTTGGACAACAACTTCCATCATTCTTAACCACCCTGCCACCCAGCCATTCTGGATGGAGGTTGTGAGCATCATAGTATAAAACATCTGGAAGAAACCAAGTTGGGGAAAGTTGTTATAAGGGATATCTTAAAGCCAAAGCTATGATCCCATTCTGTATGGCACTTCAAGGACACGCACAGGATCTTCATCATGAAACAAAGGGCCACCTAAAAGCATCGATTGTTATGTTACCTCAAGAAATATTGTGCAAAGAATGTGCACTTTTTGTTCTTTGGAGATTTTGTCAATAAAGTTATTGACTTCTACTTAGAATAGGTTCCAAGATATTTTTCTGTTCTTCTCTCTAAGATCACTGAAGCAGTACACTGCACCTGGACTACGAAATAGATATATTCGTAAGGTTTCTTCTTTGCCCCCACTACCCTGCCTCATATCCTCCAGGGATGAGTGGGAATTGTCTTGATTAGCGAACCTGGTTGCCACAGGAATAAAGAAGGTTAACAG